ACTATTGAGCAAGGTACCACCTATACGGTACCTGTGCATCTTTACTTGGAGTAAAGATGTTCTTTTATAAAGTACCAATTTATAATCCCTTGGTAAGACCACACCTAGAATATTGCATACAGGCAGTCCTCGAGTTACGACCACAACGGAGCCCCAGATTAATGCTGCTAAGTGAAAAATGGGTTAAGTGACTTCGCCCCAGTTTACGACTTTTCTTGCGGTTGTTGAGCGAACCACTGCATTTGTTAAGTTAGCCACACGGTTGTTAAGTGAGTCTGGATGTTGCTTGTCGCAAGAGGGGACCACATGACCCCAGGACACTGCAGCCGTCATAAATACGAATCAGTTGCTGAGCAATCTGAATTTTGATCAGGCAACCATGGGGATGCCGCAGTGGTCAGTAAGTGTGAAAAACAGTCATAAGTTAAGTTGTTTCAGAACTGTTATAACTTTGAACGGTCACTAAATGAACCTGTAAATCGAGGACTACCTACCTGTAGTTTTGGTCACCACGATATAAAAAAAAGATATTGAGACTTTAGAAAGAGTGCAGAGAAGAGCAACCAAGATGATTAAGGGGCTGGAGGCTAAAACATATGAAGAACGGTTGCAGGAACTGGGTATGTCTAGTTTAATGAAAAGAAGGACTAGGGGAGACATGATAGCAGTCTTCCAATATCTCAGGGGCTGCCCCAAAGAAGAGGGAGTCAAGCTATTCTCCAAAGCCCCTGAGGGCAAGACAAGAAGCAATGGGTGGAAACTAACCAAGGAGAGAAGCAACTTAGAACCAAGGAGAAATTTCCTGACAGCCAGAACAATTAACCAGTGGAACTGAGACAGAATGAAAAAGTAGCTTATAAAAGATTGCTTTTTAGATAATAAAAGGTGTGAAGGAGGTGAAAAATGTCAAACCGCAAAGTTCACAGTTATTCAACGAGCTGCTGGAAACTTAGGTACTTCCTGCAAGATAGCTGTGACCTCATTCAGTACGAAGGGGGGAGCAAGATATTTAGCTTTTTTTAACAGAGCAACAGGGGAGGGCTAGGGGGGGGGGCTATAACTAATATAACCAATCAATGACTGATATGCTATATTTCCGTGTTTGGCTACTTTTGATAAGTATATAAGTGTTTGTTGTTCCGTAAGAGGGGGTTCAGATGTTGCTACGGCTTTATTGCTCTGAACCTTTTGCGCAAATAAATACAAGTCCTTTTTGATTCCGAGGTCTGAGTCTCATTATTCCTGCGACAGAACAGCTTGCCACCAGAAGTTGTATTTGCTCCAACCCTGGAAGTTTTTAAAAAACAGATTGGACAGCCATTTGTCTGAAAGGGTACCGGATCTCCTGCTCGAGGTTGGACTAGAAGACCTCCAAGGTCCCTTCCAACTCCTTGCCAAGGTCCCTTATTCTCCTTGCCTTCTGATAAGCATCGGCCCTTGTAAGGACTGGCCTTCCTCGTGTCCTTAGCTTTCCTTTTTGTTTTTTTAAATGTTGCCCTTGTGAATGATTCAACAAAACTGGGAAATGGAAAGCTAAAAATCTGAAGGGAAAGCTGGCTGGGAAAGAAAGAAAGAAAGAAAAAGAAACACACATTTTTGAAATATATTTATGTATTTTAAGGCTTTCCTTGCGAAAGCTGTTGAAGCAAACCAGCCGAGGAAATCGAAAGCTAAAAGCCTGACGGGAAAGCTGGGTGGGAAAGAAAGAGAAACAGAGATTTTTGTTTTAATTTATGTGTTTTAAGGCTGTTCTTAACAAGGCGTTGAAGCCAGCCAGCCTAGGAAATCGAAAGCTAAGAACCCGACAGGAAATCTGAATGGGAAAGAAAGAGAAACATGCAATTGTTTAATTTTTTTGTTTTGTTTTACGCATGTCCTTGCAAGTTATTTTAATAACCAGGCTAGGAAATCGAAAGCTAAAAGCTGAACAAAGAGAGCAGGCATGAACAACAGGCAATTTTACAGACTGTCTTTATGCTGTGTCTTTTTTTTTTTTTGAGAGAGAGAGAAAGAGAGAGAGAAGGGCACTGAATGGCTTTCTTTGCAAACAAAGGATGCCCTTGGGAACAAACCCAAATATAACAAAAAGAGAGTGGGTGGGGGGTGGGAAGCAAAAAAGGAAAGTTGTTTCATGGTTTTATGGAAACTTCCCTGGGCAAAGTTTGCATGCGGGTCTTCTCAGGCTTAACTCCTTTAGTATTTTACCTAGTTTTTAAAATTACATTTCATTGACTTGACTTTGCAGCTATTTGTCCAGAATGGCATATAGTAGTGATGGCTAACCTTTTTGCCGTCGCGTGCTAATAGCGTGCTAATAGGGGGGGGGGGTGTCACGCGTGCACGTGCCCACACCTAGAATTCAGTGCGCCCTGCCCCCACACATATGCGCATGTGTGCTTCTCCCACTTTTGTTACGTGATGGTACAGTGGGCCCGGTAGGCCCATTTTTCGCCCTCCCCAGGCTCCAGAGGCTTTCTATTGTTACAGTAATAATTTTGGATTCTTTATTGCAATTTTCTCTTATGGAGGCCTGCAGTATCAGCTGATAGCCAGCAGGTGGCAATAGCGCCGCCAGTGTGAGCTGATGGCCAGCAGGTGGCGATCTCTAGCTTTACAGGGATGCTGTGTGAATCTCTTCTATTTTTCTACCTTCAGGTGGGATCCGTACTGTGAAAGTTTTAAAGTAAAGAGTTTAAGGATTAATATACCTATTTTGTGGGAAAGCCCCCACCTCTATAAACTCTCCCCATACCACCCCAAAAAAGGCAACGTCAGAATCAGGGTGGATAAAAATCAATGATTTTTTTAAAAAAATCAAAAAAATCCATTTTTTTTATTTAAATCCGATTTTTTAAATTTAAATCCGATTTTTTTGATTTTTATCGAATTTATTTTAATAAAAAACTTTTGGGGTAAAAATCTATCGTAAGATAGTTTTCTATTTAAGATACATAAATAATTTAGTTTATTCAGCACGAAATGGAGCTTAGTTATGTAACAGGAGGCTGTATATTCTGCAACACTGGGACTATCGGTGAGTCAACAGCGGGTCAAAGGAGTAGCAGAGATGACAGTTGCTCTTTAAAAATTAGGATTTAAATCGAGTTGATTTAAATCAAGACTTTTTACTAGTGATTTAAATCATGATTTAAATTGTGATTTAAATCAACTCGATTTAAATCAAATCCACCCTGGTCAGAATATTAGTCACGGGCATTACTTGCAATGCACTGCTCCTATTGGGTATTTTAAGGGTTAGGAGTTGGAAGGGACCTTGGAGGTCTTCTAGTCCAACCCTTTGCTCAAGCAGAAGACACCATTCCAGACAAATGGTTATCCAGTCTCTTCTTAAAATCCTCCAGTGATGGAGCAGCCACAACTTCTGAAGGCAAGTTGTTCCATTGGTTGGTTGTGCTCTCACCGTTGGAAAATTTCTCCTTAGTTCTAGGTTGCTACTCTCCTTTATTAGTTTCCACCCATTGCTTCTTGTTCTATCCTCAGGTGCTTTGGAGAATAGCTTGACTCCCTCTTCTTTGCGGCAACCCCTTAGATATTAGAAGACTGCTATCATGTCTCCCCTGGTCCTTCTCTTCACTAGACTAGCCATGCCCAGTTCCTGCAACCGTTCTTCGTATGTGTTAGGATATGGTGTATGCCTAACAGGTTGTCCAGGCAATATATGGACAATATATGTGTTCTATGACTTTCACATGAATATGTATTCTATGACTTTAAGAAGTACTGCTGAGTCATTGTAATGCTGAGTCATTGTATCCTGATTGGATAAGTTCTGTTGTATCTGTATTTAAGAAGGGAGCTGAAATGTAGTCATTGATGATATGCTACCATCGTGTGTGGAGATGCTATCATCGTGGTTGGATATGCTACCATCGTGATCTGTTATCAGCGTGTATGTGCTGCTATTATTACCTACTGCTGTTTTGTATGGTAAGAAGACTTTTCTATCACTGGACTGATTTGAATGGCAAAGACTTGGATTGTTTAAAGACTATGAAATTGTTTTTCACTATAAAGTAAAAACTTTGATAAACCAGTTTGTATGTATTTTATTCATTGCTCTCAGCATCGTTTCCCTGTGCTCTACGCTCTGCTGGTTGGTTAACACAACAATATCCTTAACAGTATATTTTAGTCTCCAGTCCCCTCATCATCCTGGTTGCTCTTCTCTGCACTTTTTCTAGAGTCTCAACATCTTTTTTGTAGTGTGGTGACCAGAAGTGGATGCAGTACTCTAGGTGTGGTCTTACTAAGGCTTTGTAAAGCAGTATTGATCCTTCATGTGATCTTGATTCTACCTCGCTATTAAATCAGGGGTTGCAAGACCAGATGGATGAATGTTGGAATGATGCACCGAGCAAAGGAATGAAGCTGTATTGAAGATTTGTTTTTAACAAATTATCTCGTTTTAATTATTTTTTAAAATAAATAACTCATTTATAATTTGACTGACCCAAAATCCCCTGGTTGATTTTCATAGTCTGAAATGAAAGCCAGTTGGGTCCTAGAGGAGACAGTGAGTTCTAGTCCCGCCTTAAGCATGAAAATCAGTTGGGTGACTTAGGAGGTGGTGAGTTCTAGTCCCGATTTAAGCGTGAAAGCTAGTTGGGTCCTGGACCAATCACCAGGAGACAAGTGAGTTTTAGTCCCGCCTTAAATATGAAAACCAGCTGGGTGACTTTGAGCCAATCACCAGGAGACAGTGAGTTCTAGTCCCGCCTTAAGCATGAAAGCTGATTGGGTGACTTTGGGTCAATCACCAGGTGACTGTGAGTTCTTATCCTATCTTAGCCATGAAAGGAAGGTGGATGACTTTGGGCCAGTCCTTCTCTTTTAGCCCAGCCCACCTCACAGGGTTGTTGTTGGGGAAATCGCCACCTTGAGTTATTTCTAAATATAATGAAGGTGGGAGAAAGTAAAAATAAATGGAACAGTTTCACTGCACATCTCACCTTTCTGAAATCTTTTTTTTCCCCCTCCAGTTTTCTCACTGGTCTGTTGGTCGTGCGACGGAGTCGACTCGAACTGGGCCTGCTGGAGGTGGCAAATCTGTTCCGATCAGGACAACTACTGCGCCACCACGTATACCGGTGCTGGGATTGGTACGTTACTTTGGCGGGGTTGAAATGGCAGGAGTACCATATCACTTCCTCCAAGGGTTTGCCTGCTAAATCAGGGATCCCAAACCTTTGGGCCACGGCCTACTAGCGGGCTTTGGCCAGTTCGCAACTGGGCCAGAGGTGGGTTTCAGCAGGTTCTGACCGGTTCTGGAGAACCGGTAGTGGAAATTTTGAGTAGTTTGGAGAACCGGTAAATACCACCTCTGATTGGCCCCGCCCCCAGCTATTCTCTGCCTCCCGAGTCCCAGCTGATCGGGAGGAAATGGGGATTTTGCAGTATCCTTCCCCTGGAGTGGGGAGGGAATGGAGATTTTACAGTATCCTTCCCCTGCCACGCCCACCAAGCCATGCCACGCCCACCAAGCCACACCCACAGAACTGGTAGTAAAAATGTTTTGAAACCCATCACTGAACTGGGCCATGTGAGTGGGGGAGGGGCTGGTGCGTGTCTGTTTGCGTGCGCGCAGTCCAGCTTACACAAGCGGCGGGCACCAGTGCTCACAGCTCTACTCACGCACGCCCATCGCTCACGCAAAGGAAGCTGTGTGTGATGACCCGGGACAAAGCACGAAGGTCACGCAGCCAGCTGAGAGTTCAAACTCCCCTTTAATGCTCCAGATTTCCCCCACACACCCAAATGCTCCCACGTTCTTGGCAAGTTCCAGAGCAAAGCACACACACAAATACACACACACAACACACACACACACACACACACCACGGCAGCCTCTGGCTGTGCCCAGTCCAGCAAAGCAAAGGAACAGGGAAAGGAGTCCACAAACCAAGGAACAAACGACGAGTCCACAAAGTCGGAAACAAGTCACCGAGTCCACAAAGTCAGGAAGAAGCAAGCAGTCCTACCAACTGTCTATACCGGCGCACCAAACTCTACCAATTCAGCATTTGTTCCCGACAAACTCCCCTCCCCACAGTGTCTCCATAAATCTCAGTCCTCAGGTGTGCCTTGTGAAAAAGGGCGGGGCACTCTCCTCCCGAGTTGTCGGGTCAGCCTGCGCTGTTCCCGACTTCTCTCCACTCTCCGTGCTCGGGGATCAGGAGGGGGCAGTCCTTGCTCATCGCCTGAGCTCCGTCGCTCCTCGTGTCCACTGCTTGCCCTCTCTCGATCATCCTGCCCCTGTTCCTCCCTGCTAACAAGCTGTCCCAATCCTGAGGGACCCTGGGACTGCCTTGGCCTGCTCCTCCCCACATTCCTCCAATGAAGCTGCCCTCTCGATCTCCAACTCCAGCTCGTCGTCCTCCTCAGATTCAGGCTCCAACGGCAGCATGACACTGTGTATGCAGGTGTGCCTATCCCTCGCACAAAACCATCCCCTCTTACCCTCCTTCTACCCCCCCGTGCCAAGCCACCAACCCAGAAAGTTTGGGAAACCCTGTGCTAGATCATACCCGGAACTGAGGGATGTTGTATTTTCTTCCCAACTCTTTATTTATTTAATTTTTTTGCTCTTGTCACTGTAAATATATGTGTCCCATTGTCACGTGGTCTCCTTTTTGCGACCTTCTGACAAGCCAAGTGAAAGGGGAAGCCAGATTCCCTTAACCACTGTGTTAACCAACTTAAGAACCGCAGTGATTCACTTAATGACAGTGGCAAGGAAGGTCGTAGAACGGGGCAAAAACCTATTTAACGGCTGTCTCGCTTAAAACAACGGGCTCAGTTGTGGTTTTATGTTGAAGGCTACCTATTTACTTCCAACCACGAAGGCTTTCTGTTAACAAGAGCCTTGGTAGTACAGTGGTCTAAGGCACCCTGTTATTAAGCTGGTTATTAAGACCAGCTGCCTGCAATTACTGCAGGTTCGAATCTCGCCAAGGCTCAAGGTTGACTCAGCCTTCCATCCTTTCTAAGGTAGGTGAAATGAGGACCCAGTTTGTGGGGGCAATAAGCTGACTTTGTATAAATATACAAAAGGATGAAGGCTATTGCTTAATGCACTGTAAGCCACCCTGAGTCTCCGGAGAAGGGCGGCATATACATCAAATTAAAAAAACAAAACAAAAAACAATCTGTTGTTGTATGTGACTCGCAATAAATCCACAAATATCTTCTGTTCTTCCATAAACACTCGAAAGTTTGACCTTCTTTCTTATTTTTTTGCCCCCCCCCCTTTCCGGACAGGTGAATATTCCACGCAGTCGATCAGCAAGGGCTGCGTGCCGGTTTGCCCCCAAGGCGGGATCAATATTGGCATTGCGGCTGTGTCGGTCAGCTGCTGTTCCTCGTTTTTGTGCAACACCAACGGGGCCAACAGCATCCAAATCAACCACGTGGTGTTGGCCTTGGCTACGCTCGCCAGTTTTTTCTATCTCTTTGGATCCAGGCTGTGAGGGATTACGCCTCCCTCCGGCTGCATCGAGCGGCCCAACGAGGCCCAGAAATCACGTCTCGAGAATGCAAGTTCGACTGCTCTGTTTTTTTAATCTGAGATTTTACTAGGTTTACGGAAATACTTTATTGTTTGTTTGTGTTTTCTAGCATCGCTTGGGGTTGTCGGGAGGTGGAGGCACAGCTATATATATATAAAAAAGGGAATCTTTGGGCCATAAATTCTCCATTGAGCTTTTTTTAAGGTGTGTGGACTCCTGGGAGTTGAAGTCCACACATCTTAACACCAAGGAGATCTAGAAACACTGCTCCTAAGGCTGCTGTGGCAAAGTTTGAAATCGTTACAGAGGCCTTAAAATGTTTTTGCTCGGGTGAGAAAATACGCAGCTTTGGATGAAGGTCTGTTATGCAAATGCATTTTTGTCTGTTACATTCACTCTGTTAACATTTGAACTCATTAAAATGTATTACATTTTACATTAAGCACGATTGTGAGACGGTGACATGGGCTTTTTGAATGGAATAAACATTTTGATTCATAACAACTCCCTTTCTCGTTTCTCCTTCCTTTCCTCGCACATATCCCACTACGTGTTTTATTTAGGGTGCTGATTATTCGATCTTTTACTGACGTGCCCTGTTCTCGGGGGAGCCCCGACAAAAATCAACAGACACACAGTTACATAGGAACCTGGTAGTCTTCTAGTCCAACCCTCTACTCAAGCCAGGAGATCTTACTCCCCATGCTGGTTAAATGTTTATCCACTCTATTTGTGAAAACCTCCAGTGATGGATGTCTGTAGAGATTCTCCGTCATCCAGGTCACGGTTGTCCCAAAGGTGCTTCTTATTTATTTATTTTTATTTATTTATTTTTCAAAATTTATATGCCTCCCTTCTCCCGTAGGACTCGGGGCGGCTCACAAGATAAAAACAATACAACAATGCAATACTAAAATTAATCAATTTAAAAATCCCCAAATGATTAAAAAGTCTTGCAACAGATCAGATCAATTTGCTGAAAAAAGCCATGTCTTCAGCTCGGTGCGGAAATTGCGTAGGTCGGGGGCCGTCCGGAGCCCGGTGGGTAAATCATTCCAGAGGGTCGGTGCGGCCACAGAGAACGCCCTCATCCTGGGGGTCGCCAGTTGACATTGTCTGGCCGACGGCACCCAGAGGAGGGCAGCCCTATGTGACCGCACTGGTCGGTGGGAGGCCGGTAGGAGGTGGTCCTGCAAGTACCCCGGGCCCATGCCATGTAGGGCTTTATAGGTCAAGACCAGCACCTTGAAGCGGATCCGAAGGGACACCGGTAACCAGTGCAGCTCGCGCAGGAGAGGTGTTACACGTTAATGGGAGGCTCCCGTAACAACCCGCGCGGCCACATTCTGGACCAGTTGAAGCCTCCGGGTGCACCCCAAGGGCAGCCCCATGTAGAGGGCATTGCAGTAATCCAGCCGAGAAATTATGAGAGCATGAGTGATTGTACGGAGGGCATCCCTGTCTAGGGAAGGGCGTAACTGGCGCACCAGGCGGACCTGTGCAAAAGCCCCCCTTGTCACGGCCGTCAGATGATCCACCAAGGACAGCCGTGAATCAAGGAGGACACCAAGATTACGAACCCTTTCAGACGGAGTAAGCAACTCCCCCCCCCACCCCCATCGAAAGTGAAACTTTTTCAAGAGACAACTGGACTTTCTGGGTTTTTTTTCTTTAAAGACCTGTTGCTTCCCATCCAAGAAGCTTCTTCAGCTCTGACTGGATGGTGGGGAATGGAAGGATTGGTACTCCTTGCAGACAGCTGGTCATTTGCATCCTTTTAGAGAGTCATTGAGGCTACTTGGAGGTTTATCTGTGTCCTCGGGGTCACCTGAGTGGTGCAAATGGGTGTAGAGACTTCTTGGAGCTGTTGAAAGGACTGTTGTAGACTGGAGATAGATGATGTCGTATCCCCTCCCCCTCAGTTAAGAGAGAGAGCTGTTCAATTTGGACATAGATGGCCTCTTTGACCCCTCTATCACACCAGCGGTCCTCTCTAACGTGGACTCTGCTATCTTCTGCTAGCAGAGCTACCTTTGTCTTTTAAATGCAGCTTTGTCAGAGTATGCAGCAATCCAACCAGCACGCAAGTAAATAATTCAGCAGGATTCATCTATAAAAGAAACTTCTTTAGATACAATAATATAAATCATGATGCATGTATACAATACCCATGCAGCAGAAGCCAGAACCAGAAATTGCAGAAGCACAGAACAACAGAAACTATAATGCAAGGACAAACCAACATATAATACACATACATGTGTGTGTGTGTGTGTGTGTGTGTGTGTGTGTGTATCTTTTTCTTTTTCGTAGGCTTTTATGTGCATATTCTTTCTAGCCAGGTTTTACCTACGTAAACTAAGTTTTTCTACAGCCCTGGTTCTGTGAAATCTCATTCACAAGTTTCTGGGCCTTTTTTTCTGCTGACAGACTGCAACTCTGTGTTGCTCTCTGGGAGACTCAGATAGCTATTTCTGCCTTTTAAGGCGTCATCAGTGAGCCACACCCACTTCTCAGATATCCTCCCTGTAAAGGTACAATGTGTCAACTGCAACACAGAGTTGCAGTCTGTCAGCAGAAAAAAGGCCCAGAAACTTGTGAATGAGATTTCACAGAACCAGGGCTGTAGAACAACTTAGCTTACGTAGGTAAAACCTGGCTAGAAAGAATACGCACATAAAAGCCTACGAAAAAGAAAAAGACACATTGTACCTTTACAGGGAGGATATCTGAGAAGTGGGTGTGGCTCACTGATGATGCCTAAATAGGCAGAAATAGCTATCTGAGTCTCCCAGAGAGCAACACAGAGTTGCAGTCTGTCAGCAGAAAAAAGGCCCAGAAACTTGTGAATGAGATTTCACAGAACCAGGGCTGTAGAACAACTTAGTTTACGTAGGTAAAACCTGGCTAGAAAGAATACGCATACACACACACACACACACACACACACACACACACACACACATATACAGATCAGTCAAGCTAAGCCATGCCCAGGCTCTGAGCCATCTCAACAGACCCTGTTTCTTAGCCACCAAACAGTTCCCATTGACTGACGTTGTTATGGCTATCCCAGCTCATAATTTCTTATACACTGACAAACTTCCATTCCCCACCATCCGATCAGAGCTGAAGAAGCTTCTTGGATGAGAAGCGAAATGTCTTCAAAGAAAAATAAAACCTGAAAATCCAGTTGTCTCTTGGGAAAGCACCTTTGGGATTCCAGTGACGGAGCATCTATGGCTTCTGGAGTCATGCCATTGCACTGATCAGATGTTCTCACAGTCAGGAAAATTATTCTTTTTAGGTTGGATCTCTTTAACAAGCTTCCATCTGTTACTTCTTGTCCTGCCCTCAGGTGTTACGACACAGGTCACCTAAGCAGAGGCAGGCATCTGTAATGTCCTTTATTGCTGTGTTAAATTCCACAACAAACGGCTCTACAATGGCCGGTAAGGTCGACCCCAAAACTTCTCTGAAGGCAGCCACTCGCAGACCCACGAACAAAATCCAGTAAGCAACAAAATCACTTTGCAAAAGCGGAGAGGAGGTCCAAAGACAAGGTGTAAGCTCATGTTGTGACCCAGGCCCAAGTAGTTAGTATTAAATACAAACAGATCAAAAACAAACAGACTTTATTAGAATTATGAGAATTATGAGAATTAACTCATTCTCAGCGTATTCCAAATTAAATTAAGTCCTCAAAACACCGTTCTTCAGTTTATCTCTGACCTTGGGATAATTAGGCAAACTGCCAAAGGCTTTTCTTGGCAACAGTTCAGGAACAGAAGATGCTGACAAGAAAGAAATACATCCAAACACAAAGCAAATCTCTCAACGGTTGCTTTCGGGCAAAGAGGCCAAGAGCCGTTGCTGGTCTTTTAAGCCTTATGGGAGGGCCCAATCATCTCTTGGCCCTACTCCCGAGTCGTCCTCTTTGCTTTAGCTGATCTTGCCTTCTGGCAGCTCTTCTCATGCATGCACTAGGAACGGGCTCCTCCTGTTCCTTTGCCTCTCTACTGTCAGCCTCTGGAGGCTCCGAAGTCCGCGCATCACTCCCCGATGGCCCTGGCCCCATCCCTGCCTCCGACACAGAGCCCTCATCCAGGCCTTCCCCAGCCTCCAGGACTGGCCCATGTTCTTCTTCAGCCTCATCACTGCCAGCTCCTCAGGCTGCTGGCAGACCACAACAGCTCACTGGACAAGGTCCACAGTCTAGATAAGTCCACGAGGTGAGGCAGAGGCAGAAACACAAGTCAAAGCTGAGTTTTTCCAAATCCTCTGTGTGTGTTTGTGTGTGAGAGAGAGTGCATGCCAAAGCAAACAATTGTTCCCAACAAAGACAAACTTCCCCCAGCCTCTGCTTAAGTGAACCCAAGCCAGGTGTTCCTTATGAGGAGCGGGTGGCCTCCTCACCAGCAACCTCGTAGGCCTCCTTTCAGCTTGCCTCCGCTCTATTCTCGGTGCCCTCGGATCGAGTGGGGGAGGCAGCTGTTCCTCCTCAGAGGGGATTTGCTGCCTATCAGCACCACTGCCTGTCTGATCCTCCTCTGTGTCTCTCAGGGCAGGCAGCTCTCCATCTGGTCGACCACCTGAGGGGCCTGGGACAGCATCATCCTCAGTCCCTGGCCTCTCCAGCGTTCCAGGGAAGACATCCCATCCTGGTTCCAACTCCTCCTCCTCCGAATCGTGATCCGAAGGGGCTATGATATCCTTTGGAGGACAAGCCAATCCCTTCTTCTCTTGATAGCCCCTCAAGGATTGGAAGAGAGTTAAAATGTCCCCCTTAATCCTTCTCTTCTATAGGCTATCTAATATCTATTTCCCTCCCTTGTTTATCATACGATTTACCCTCCAGATCCTTTATTATCTTCTCTACACACCTTCTAAGGCCGTGATGGCGAACCTATGGCACGTGTGACGGAAGTGGCATGGAGACCCATCTCTCCGGACATGCCAGCCGTCACCCGTTGCTCTTCGGGGTTCCGGCGTGAAGACCAGATGACTGGCGCGCATTGTGCACGCCGGAAAGCGGAAGTTCAGCTTCCCAGTACGCGTCATATCGTCACCGCTACTGGCTCGGGAGAACCGGGCCGAACCGGGAGGAACCCACCACTGGTGGAGGGACAATATACGGTACGGTGGAGGAGAGAAAGGCTTTGCTCACCATCCATCCTGTCCTCGTGACCGCTTGTCTGGACTACTGCAATACGCTCTACGTGGGGCTGACCTTGAAGAGCGTTCAGAACCTTCCAACTTGTGCGGAGTATGGTTGCGTGGGTAGTAAAGGCTGCTGTATTTTTAGTTTGTAGTCCTCGACTTGCAACGGTCCATTTAGTGACCGTTCAAAGTGACAACGGCACTGGGAAAAAAGGGGACGCGTGACCATTTTTCACACTTAACGGCCATTGCAGCCTCCCCAGGGTCACGTGATCAAAATCCGGACACTTAGCACCTGGTTCATAGTTATGACGGTCCCAGTGTCCCGGGGTCATGGGATTCCTTTTTGCGACCTTCTGCCAAGCGAAGTCCATGGGGAAACCAGATTCACTTAGCAACCCTGCTACTAATTTTTTTTTTTTAAAAAAAGATTTATATGCCATCTTTCTCCGGAGACTCAGGGCGGCTTACAATGCGTTAAGCAATAGCCTTCATACTTTTGTATATTTATACAAAGTCAGCTTATTGCCCTCACAAACTGGGTCCTCAATTTACCTACCTTAGAAAGGATGGAAGGCTGAGTCAACCTTGAGTCTGGCGAGATTCGAACATGCAGTAATTGCAGGCAGCTGATGTTAATAACAGTGCTTTAGTCTGCTGCGCCACCAGGCTCCCTATTTAATGACTGCAGTGATTCACTTAACAGCGGTGGCAAGGAAGATTGTCAAAGGAGGCAAAACTCACTGAACAAATGTTTCCCTTAACAACCATTTAAATATGAGCCAGCTGTGTGTTGCAGCTGCCAAAAAAGCCAACACAGTTCTGGGCTGCATTAACAGAGGGATAGAATCAAGATCACGTGAAGTGTTAATACCGCTTTATGATGCCTTGGTAAGGCCACACTTGGAATCCTGCATCCAGTTTTGGTCGCCATGATGTAAAAAAGATGTGGAGACTCTAGAAAGAGTGCAGAGAAGAGCAACAAAGAGGATTAGGGGACTGGAGGCTAAAACATATGAAGAACGGTTGCAGGAACTGGGTATGTCTAGTTTAATGAAAAGAAGGACCAGGGGAGACATGATAGCAGTGTTCTAATTTCTCAGGGGTTGCCACAAAGAAGAGGGAGTCAAACTATTCTCCAAAGCACCTGAAGGTAGGACAAGAAGCAACGGGTGTGATGGAAACACATCATCAATATAATCATTCTATGTAAAACAAAATGGAGTTTGTACTGTTTCTAAAATGTGTATTGTTTCTGCAATTCTTTATACAAGAAATAGAATTATAAGCTGTTTTGAAAAGTATAAGCTTTTACAGATAAATAAGCTAGAAGTGTCAAAACCGCAAAATGCCAGCTGTAACCGCAAGTCGAAGAGCAAAAGTTAACTAGGCTAAGAGCTGGAAAGAAACCGGAAAAGGAGAAGGGAGGAGGGAGATAGGACGAGTGCTTAAGCAGGATGCTATGCTGAAGAACAAAGGTATACTTTTAGGAGCTTTGAAGAAGAAATGTTTTAAGCAGGAAAAAGGGAGTGGGGAGGAAGTGGAGTTTTGTGTGAATGATAAATTGATCAATGCTGCAACTGATGTTCACTTCTCGTGTTCCCTTGTTTGCAAATATGTCATTAAACTCTTTGCTGATTTCAAGTAAAGTCTCCGGTAGTTCCCTATCCTATTAGAACTGTTTATCACAGGTGGAAACTAATCAAGGAGAGAAGCAACTTAGAACTAAGGAGGAATTTCCTGACAGAACAATTAATCAGTGGAACAACTTTCCTGCAGAAGTTGTAAATGCTCCAACACTGGAAATTTTTAAGATGATGTTGGATAACCTTTTGTCTGAAGTGGTATATAGGGTTTCCTGCCTGGGCAGGGGGCTGGACTAGAAGACCTCCAAGGTCCCTTCCAACTCTTGTTATTCTATTCTAAGTTAACATCAACAGCTCATTTGTGATCATAAGATGACCTGTGTTTATTTATTTATTTGCATCCTGCCTTATTTATTATTTTTTAAAATAACTCAAGGCTGTAAACACATCCAGCACACATCTTCCATCCTCCTGTTATTCTCACAACAGCAACCCTTGCGAGGTGAGCTGGACTGAGAGGGAGTGACTGGCCCAAAGATACCCAGCTGGCTTTCATGACTATGTTTATTTATTTATTTATTGGTTCGATTTATATATGCCGCCCTTCTCCGGAGACTCAGGGCGGCTTACAATGCATTAGAGCAATAGCCTTCATACTTTTGTATATACCTGCTTAGTAGGGCTTTTGCCCCCCCCCCCAGCAGTGTTCTTTTTTATACAAAGTCAGCTTATTGCCCCCACAATCCGGGTTCTCGTTTTACCTATCTCAGAAGGATGGAAGGCTGAGTCAACCTTGAGCCTGGTGAGATTTGAACTCGCAGTAATTGCAGGCAGCTGGTTGGGGACCAGATCTGACCGTCACCTGGTTGATTGGCTCAAAGCCATCCAGCTGGCTTTCGTGCCTAAGGCAGGACTAGAACTCACCGTCTCCTGGTGATTGACCTAAGGTCACCCAGCTTTCATGCCTAAAGCAGGATTAGAACACACTATCTCCTGCTTTCGAATCTGTTGCCATTACCACGGGATCAAACTGCCTCTTATGAGCTTTTCATGAGCTGTATTGTATATTGTATATAAGCTGTCTAGGTGTCTTAGCCACTGAGCCTGTCGATCAGAAAGGTTGGCAGATCGGTGGTTCAAATCCCTAGTATAGGTCTCCTGAGTGAGCAGGGGGTTGGACTAGGTGACCTCCAAGGTCCCTTCCAACCCTGTTACTGTTACCAGCCTGGACTGATGGGGTTTGATTATTTTAATGAGTTTAAAACATACGTTTAATTTGTATTTTAATATGTTTTTATCTGGTTTGATTTTAATTGTTGTGAGCCAGCCTGAATCCTACGGAGATAGGGCGGCATACAAATCAAATTAAATAAATAAATAAATAAAATTGATTGCTGGTATCTTTCCAGATGCAGTTCAAGGTGTGGTTACAGTGGTGAAATCTAAAATTTGTTACTAACGGTTCTGTGGGCGTGGCTTGGTGGGAGGGTAATGTGACTGGGTGGGCGTGGCCAACTTTTTTTTTTCCTTTTAAAGCCATTTTTTTTACAACCTCTTCGGTAAAAAATGCTTTCAAAAGGCTCTGACGATCCCAGCTGATCGACAGAGGCTTTTTTTTTCTTTTAAAAGCCTCTGCTGATCAGGCAACTCAGCTTGGATCGTCAGAGGCATTTAAAAGGAAAAAAAAGCCTCTGCCTACCAGGCAGAGCCTTCTCTGTGGGGGCACCTACTATCTGGAACGAGCTCCCCCCGAAGATACGGAGGATCCCGGATCTGCGCACTTTCCGCTGTGCTTTGAAGACACTCCTATTCCAGCAGACCGGCCTGGCCTAATTTTTTCCCCTTCTTTTAAATTTTTAAACTCAAATTTTAATTCGTTTTAAATTATTGGGAGTTTTAAATTGTCTCGGGCAAAAATTATTTAATTGGGTTTTAATCATGTCTTAACTTTTGTATTTATGTGTTTTATTTCATGCCTGTTCACCGCCCTGAGTCCTTCGGTAGTAGGGCGGTATACAAATTTAATAAAATGAAAAAAAACAAAACAAAACAAAAAAAACAACTCAGCTTGGATCGTCAGAGGCATTTAAAAGAAAAAAAAGGCTTTGACGATCCCAGCTGAGCTACGCGATCATCAGAGGCTTTTTTTTTTTTAACTTTTAGAAGCATTTTTTCAGCCGAAGAGGTTGTAGAAAAAATGCTTTTAAAAATTAAAAGAAAAAGCCTCTGATGATTGTGTGGCTCAGCTGGGCATTTGGGGGGGGCAGGGATTTTTGCTACCGGTTCTCCAAACCACTCGCCTCCATCGCTACCAGATCAGGCGATCCAGTCCCAACCAGGAGCATTTCACCCCTGTGTGGTTATCACCTTAAAAGCCATTCATGCCTTTGGGCCAGGTTACCCGAAGGGGTAGTTTTCTCCCTGTCATTTCTCCCTCTGTATAGTTTGATCTTCCAGGTGAGACCTAACATGGATCCTCTCAGCCAAGCAATGTTGTATTGGCAGGGACTAGGAAGCACACCTTCTCTGCTGTAGCCCTTGCCTTCTGGAATATTCTCCCTTCAGAGTTCAGGAGGACCTCAACTCTGAACGTTCGCAAGGCTTGGTCGGGTGTCCAGGCCAGAGGTCCAGAGCGTGCTAGTTGGGGGAATTCTGGGACTTGAAATCCATGGGTCTTCGAGTTGCCAAGGTGGAGATCCAGTGGGTTGGATGCAGTCCATAGTTCCTTGATTGGGAAGATCACCAATCAGAAGACTCCGGATACTTCTGATTCCAACGGAACATTAACCGTACAACAATGGCTTGTTCCATGGCAGTTTGCAGGCTGTACACCTGTCGAAAAGCCTTAGCGTGACTCCGAAAATATTTTAGGGGTTATTTGAGGAAAGCAAACGGGCGGTCGAAAAGAAGGTAAGGGATGGTAGATCTGGAGACAGGTCTGAGTGGTCGCTGGACATGGATTCAGCCACATCACAGTGCTGAGACACATGTTTACTGCACGGTTATATTCAGTGGTGAGTTCCAACCGGCGTTACCACCGATTCTCTTCATGCACGTGCTCTGCGCACGATCGCCATGCACATGCTTGCATGTGCATCGAACTTGCGCTCCGCGCAAGCGCATTAGGTTTCTGCCCAGCTGAGGTGCGGCAATCCACTCTGCCACGCCTATCAGCTGGGCTAAAAAAAGAAGAAACAAAGGTAGGAATAACGCGGGGGCGGGCGGGAGGGCCCAGCTCCCAAACAAAGAGAACCGGTTCGGTGACGTCACATCATCATCGCTACCGGCTCGGCCGAACCGGGCCGAACCGGGAGCAACCCATCACTGGTTATATTCAGTGGTGGGATTAAAATAATTTAATAACCGGTTCTCGGCCCTAATGAGCGGCTGGGTGGGTATTGTTGGAAATAAATTCAACCAACAAGCATGGGTCGATGAAAACAAAGAGGCTTTATTAAAAAAAATAAAAATAAAAACAATTTTGCAAAATAGGGGAGTATATCCCAGCAGATGTCAACAAGGAGTTTGAGCCAGGAAGTCACACCGGAAGTTTCAAAAGCATTACATTTGATAGTTCCCTATCCCGACACCCCCCACGCCCCACGATCAGGTCCAGGGACCGATCACGGCTAATCCGAAGCGCCTTTTAGAGAGATCATCATCTCTTTCTCTAACACCTCCCTATAACTACCCATAAAATATTTTGCAAACATAGCTCTTTCTTATCTCCATTGCCTTGGCATTAAAGAGTGGGCCTCTTTCTAACGGGCCTCAAACAAAAGAAGATCTATTCTAACACAACATTGTTACATATTGGTATGTTCTTCTCTCCAACTATCTTAAAGCAGAATAATGTCTAACGAAGTCTTTAAAGCTTCCAGTGATGGAGGACCCACAACTTCTGAAGGCAACTTCTATTCCATCGGTTGATTGTTCTCACTGTCAGAAAAATTTTCCTTATTTCCAGGTTGAATCTCTCCTTGGTCAGTTTCCATCCATTATTCCTTGTCTGGTCTTCGGGTGCTTTGGAGAATAGCTTGACCCCCTTCCTCCTCTCTGTGGTAGCCCCTCAAATATTGGAAGACTGCTCTCCTGTCTCCCCTGGTCCTTCTCTTCACTAGACTAGCCATGCCCAGGTCCTGCAACCGTTCATCGTACGTTTTAGCTTCCAGTCCCCTCATCATCCTAGTTGCTCTTCTCTGCACTCTTTCTAGAGTCTCAACATCTTTTTTTTTGAGTCTCCTAGAACTATTTCTGAGGATAAAAGGGGAAAAGGTGGGGTCTTTGTCCTCCTGTCACCTCTTATAGATTGTCAGGCCTGTTGAACAGCTGCAAGACCTAGTAGAAAAGTATGGAGCTCTATTAATCCAATAGTAGAAGGCAACAGAACAATTAGGGTAATGGTGAAAATACCAAGGTAGACATTAGATGGTGCTGTTCTCCTGCTGTTGGATAAGCTGTTCTCCTGCAACTTCTGAAGTCCATCTTCAGGTCCAGCGAGGTGCAAGTTGGAAAAGGGGATTGTTGTGACCCCGACTCCCGAGCCTGTCCTAACAGAGGAAGAGGACTCTGAAGGTGATGGGGAGGAACTGACAAGGCCTCCCTCTCCAGGACCCTCCTCTCTGGCAATGCCTCAGGTTCCATCTGAAAGCCAGGAGGAACAGCCTGGGATGTGCCAGCAGGAAGGCATATCGGAGCACCCATTGATAGGGAGCGAGGAAGATGAATCCTGGCTTGATCCCAGGCAGCGTCGGAGGGAGAAGCGTGAGCAGCAACGGAAGAGGCATGGGAGGGCCAGAGATTGAGCTGAGTCACGGAGCCACGCCCCACCAGGAATAAAAGTGGGTGGCATTGCTCTTCAGGCTTTGTGACGGACAAAGTGAAACCCTGAAAGTCGCATCGTGATCTCTGAAATTCGCCTTGAGATATATTTTGGACTGAACATTGACTAAACTCTTGTCTCGTGGATAATTTGTTGCTCCTGGAACGGACTGAAGATAAGTCCTCTTCTGCTTTATGGGAGTGGAAAAGGTCTTGGCAGGCATTCGGCAGTTTGCTGCCAAAACCTTGGTCTGCCAGGAATTCTAATCTGTTTACCTTCCTAATAAAATATTGGTAGGCGTGCTTGGTATTACGTTTGCCTGTGTGAGGAAGGGGGACAAAACAGGGATATAATCAAGGTGGGTTTTGCCCTCACTTGAAAATTAATCCGCTTGTAGTTTCTCCAGGCATGGAGATACTGCAGGAGGAGAACCTGGAGGTTGGTCTATGGTGAGACCACTTTTTTCCAACTCACCCATTTGTCTTTGGAGATTCTCAGTCATCCAGGTCATGGTTGCCCCAAAAGTCTTTTTTTTTTTTTTTTCCAAGAGGCAATCGGACTGTCTTTGTTTTTCCTTCAAGACATTTCACTTGTCATCCAAGAAGCTTCTTCAGTTCTGACTGAATGGTGGAGGATGGAAGAATTTATATTCCTTGCAGTCATCTGGTCATTAGTATTCTTTCTGAGAGTCATTGAAGCCGCTTGGAGGTTTGTCTGTGCCCTCAGCATCACCTGAACAGTGCAAATAGGCGTGAAACACCTTTCAGCAGTTCCAAGAAGTTTTCACACCCATTTGTACTTTGATTCAGGGGATCCGGAGGGTTAGAGATAAACCCCCAAGTGGCCTAAACCAGTGATCCCCAACCTTTATATCGCCGCGGCCCGCTGAGCGCGCGCAGGGGTGGGGGCACGGCCCAGGAGCTTTTGCGCACGGCCCATTGCGCACGGCCCAGGAGCCTTTGCGCTGCAGCATTCCTGTCCCCCGGCCGCTGCGCGGACCGGTGCCAGGTACTCCACGGCCCGGCACCGGTCCGCGGACCGGAGGTTGGGGACCACTGGCCTAAACGACTCTTGGAGAGCTAACGACTGACCTTCAGATGACTGCAAAAACTATAAATCCTTCCATTCCTTACCAATCAGTTGGAACTGAGAAAGCTTCTTGGATGTGAAGTGAAATGTTCTCAAGAAAAAAAAAAAACACCAAGAAAGTCCAGTTACGTTTTTGGAAAAGCATCTTTTGGGTTATGCACACAAGAGTTTTCGTTCAATCCTTCCCTCATATTAAAATTCATCCGACGACTGAAGAGCTTTCCTGCAGAGGTTTTGACATGGTCTCCTAATCTCAAATAGACATCTCCATGTTTACCTCCTTGGCTTAACCATCAATCAATCAGTCAGTCAATCAATCAGAATAGAGCTGGAAGGAACCTTGGAGGTCATCTAGTCCAGCCCCCTGCTCAAGAAGGAAACCCTATCCCAATTCAGACAAGTGGCTGTCCAGTCTCTTCTTAAAGACTCCAGTGATGGAGCATCCACAACTTCTGAAGGCAAACTGTTCCACTGATTAATTAACAGAATAACAGAGTTGGAAGGGATCTTGGAGATCTGGTAGTCCATCCCCCCACATCAAGCAGGAGACCCTATACCAGTGATGGCTAACCTTTTTTGCCAAAAGTGGGGGAGCATGGGGGGGGGGTGTCATGCGCATGTCCCCACACCCATAATTCAATGCCCCCTGCCCCCTGTGCAGTGCGCGCGACCCCCCCTCCACGTTCCCCCTGCTTTTGGCACGCAATGGCACGGTGGCCTGTTTTTCACCCTCCCCAGGCTCCAGAAGCTTTCTAGGAGCATGGGGAGGGCGAATACAGGCTCCCCCCCACACCTGGAGGCCCTCCAGAGGGTGGAAATGGCCTGTTTCCTGACTTCCGATGGGACCAGAAGGCCCGTTTTTCACCCTCCCCAGGCTCCAGAGCCTTTCTAGGTGCCTGGGGAGGGCAAAAACAGCCTTCCCCACCCCCCAGAGGTCCTCTGGAGGCCGGAAACATTCCTTTTCCTGACTTCCGATGGGCACGGAAGGCCCAAAAATCAGCTGGCTGGTGCACGCATGCACACTGGAGCTGAGCTAGGGCAATGCTCACATTCTCACAGATATGGCTTCGTGTGCCACCTGTGGCACACGTACCATAGGTTCACCATCATGGCCCCATGCCATTTCAGACAAGTGGCTGCCCACTCTCTTCTTAAACACCTCCTTTGATGGAGCGCCCACAATTTCTGGTGGCAAGCTGTTCCACTGGTTAATTGTCCTCCCTGTTAGGAAGTTTCTCCTTCATTCCAGGTTGCTTCTCTCCTTGGTTAGTTTCCCTCCATGGTTTCTTGGTTTCTCTTTTGTGTCAGTTCCTTGGGTGTGAAAAGGTGTGTCTCATAGCTTCCTTAGTGACGCAATGCTTTTCTGCCCCAAAACCAGAAGGGGACCTTCAAAATCGGCAGTTTCATCGTGGATGAATTCGGGAAAGACATGAAGACTCATCTTCCGGTTGTACTGCTGACCATTGTCGTGCACATCAAGAAAGGTGAGCACCATGGGTAGGGCGGTACTCGTCGTTTTGTTTCCTTTGGGGACGCTGAATAAGATGAGTCAGTTTGGTGTAGTGGTGGTGAGTCCTACCATCGGCATGAAAACTGGCTGGATGATTTTGGGCCAATCACCTGGAGGATCTGAGTTCTAGTTCAGTGTTAGCCAGGAATGCTAGCTGGGTGACTTTGAGACAATCACCAGGAAACAAAATCACCAGGAAATAAAAGAGCCCTGGTGGCGCAGCAGACTAAAGCGCTGTTAAGTAACACCAGCTGCCTGCAATTACTGCAAGTTCAAATCTCACCAGGCTCAAGGTTGACTCAGCCTTCCATCCTTTCGAGGTAGGTAAAATGAGGACCCGGATTGTGGGGGCAATAAGCTGACTTTGTATAAAAAAGAACACCGCTTTGGGGGCCCCGAAAGCCCTATTAAGCAGGGCGGCATATAAATTGAACCAATAAACAAACAAACAAACAAACAAACAAACAAACAAACAAACAAACAGTTCTAGTTTTGTCTTGGGAATGAAAGCTAACTGGATGACTTTGGGCCAATCACCAGGAGACTGTGAGTTCTAGTCCCACCAGGGGTGGGTTCTAATTTTTTTTACTACCGGTTCTGTGGGCGTGGCTTATTTTGTGGGTGTGGCTTGGAGGTCATGTGACTAGGTGGGCGTGGCTAGCTGGTCAGAGTCATTTCTGGAAGGTCCTCGCACTTACGACCAGTCCTCACACTTACGACCCATTTGTTTGCTTTTAACACTGATCAGCTGAAGCCCCGCAGCAAGAGTTTAAACAGGTTTTTTCCCTCTAGTCATCAGCTGGGACTCAGGAGGTAGCAATAGATTGGGGGTGGGACCAAATAAAAGGTAAGAATAACATGGGGGGGTGGGGGGGTGGGAGGGTGGGGGGGGAGAACCGGTTCGGTGACGTCATATCGTCTGCCGAACCGGACCGAACCGGGAGGAACCCATCACTGAGTCCCACCTTAGGCATGAAAGCCATCTGGGTGTCTTTGGGCCAATCACTGGGAGACTGTGAGTTCTAACTCCGCTTTAGCTGTGAGTTCTAGTCTTGCCTTAGTCATGAAAGCTAGCTGGGTGACTTTGGGCTGGGAGATGGTGAGTTCTAGTCATGCCTTAGGCATGGAAGCAGACTTACGTCCCTCATTCACTAAGAAAAATGCTCCAGAGTCCCTCCCCCTCTCCCTCCCTCCCTCCCCCAAGTCAGGATCAAAGGCCAGGAGGGCTTCCTTCAGGAGAGAACATCTTAAAGTCACTCCTTCTAATCACCTCTGCATGGAACCTTTGCACTGCTGGAAGCAGTTTTTCCTGTTTAGGTGGCAAGAATGTGGGCCTTAAATCTACCTCTTTGTGGGATGATGCTGATGCTGATGAGGAGGAGGACCACTATGGAGTTCTTAGTGCTCTCTGACCTCGGCTGTTTTCATGCAGACTTGACTTGACTTGACTTGACTTGACTTTTATTTGATTTATATACCGCCCTACTCCCGAAGGACTCAGGGCGGTGAACAGCCAACAATAAAATACATACATACAAAATTTAAAAAGCAGAAATAAAATCGAATTAAATAGTTTGGCCCAGACAGATTAAAACCCCAGTCAATTTAAAACAGATTTAAACTTTGAGGATTAAAAATATTAAACATATTAAAATATTAAAATTATTTAAAAAGAGGGAGAACTATTACCCAACTAGATAACACCATCAGTGCTGGAAGGGTTTAGTGGAAAAGAGGAGGAAGGGGAGGGAGGGAGGAGGAGGAGGTGGAGGAGTATTGTGGGGTCCTTGGTGCTCTTGAATTTGGTTGTTTCCTTGCAGACATTTCATTACCAAACTAGGTAACATTATCAGTGCTAGAAAAGAGGATGCTTTGTGGAGAGGAGGAGGAATGTGGGATCCTTGGTGCTCTCTGACCATGGTTGTTTTTTTTCAGATCTTTCATTACCCAACTAGGAAACATCATCAGTGCTAGAAGAAAGTAGGGTTTGCAGACATGAGGAGGAGGATAATAATACTGTAAGGCCCCAAAATATACTTGAGTCACCAGAATGCCAAAGAGAGAGACTCAAGATGAGGCTTGCAAAAAGAAGCAGATTTTATTTATGGCCAAAAAAACAAAATACCGGGTGGGACTATATCCAGAACATACAGATACAATGCATGCGAGGAGATAGCCACACCTTGGGGAAGGTATGGCGTCCTTTTTATACCCTCAGAGGCATCAGCTTAGTACCCAATTCTGGCCTCCTCGTTTAGGTTTGTGCATTCCTTGCTGCCCTGCAGAGGAATAGAAGCCTCCCAATTAGCATTATCTCTTCCTTGAGCATTCCTTTGTTCTCCCAATTGCTCCTTTGGCCCCCTGATTCTGCAAGCGACTGAGTTTATACAGATCAAAGGTGTAAATTAGGGCTGAAGTGTAAATTATCCCTCGGATGATGTCTGCAGTTCCCATATCTGAGATATGTACCATGCTCTTAGATGGCACAAGAAAAACAGGAAGAAGATTGATATGGGTTCAGATCAAATAGCAGGAACAAATGTTTGATAAATACCAGATACATTACAGAGGCCTAATAACAGAATATGCTTGTTATGTTGTGGATTTAATAAGACCAACACAACTTTTCAGGGTTAATCAGAGACAATGTATATTGCGCAATAGGTTCAAAGCTCTGTACATGAAGCGTTGAACAAAGACAGAAATTAGGTACAATGGTTTTTATACTCTTCTAAGACAAAGGATTCTGTTAACTCAGCAATTTATGTGGTCATATACATTTGTCATATTTAATTGACACTTCCCAATTACCAAGTTTCATATTATTCTTTGCCAACAGTCATAATTCTTCATGTAAATTACTGGAGCATAGATTCAAATTATCTCTTGTTAATATTACATGTGGTCATCCTTTGATCTGTTTTAACCTTCAAACAAATATCTCTATCTCTGGCAACTGAGGGGCCCCTCTTGTGAATGTTTCTACTTCAAAGGAACTTTTGTTCTGCCTTTGTACTGTCTCAACTGGTTAATTTGCAAGCACATTTTCTTTCCTACAATACTATGAATAAAGAGGGCCCTTCAGTGATCATCCAGCTGGACCCGCATTTACCTACATTAGTTACAGGAGATACAAATATAAAGGCATAATATATGTGATAGAAATACAAAGGCATATTTGTGTTACAAATAATAAAGGTACAATATCTGTGTTATACAAACATATATAGCAAAGGCTATATATGTGTTACAGGAACCTAATAGTTACAGAATAACAAGTTTCTACTAATTCTAGTATACCAGTATATCATATTCTAGTATTATTTATTATATCCTTATTACTGTTTCCCTTCAATACAATGAGGGCTGTAAGAACAAGGACCAGTCACCAGTCATTTCAGTACTAACCGCAGGTTAAAAAAATAACTGAACTGGAATTGATTTAGAGAAATGGCAAAAATTGTGGTCGCAAAATTATAAAATGACAATGTCAACTGCATATAAAGAAAATTTGTATAAGATGTTTTACAGGTGGCATCTACCCCCGATGAGAATAGCCAGAATGTTCAAGAACAAATCAGAAAAGTGCTGGAAATGTCATCAGATACCGGACTCATATTACCATATGTGGTGGACATGTGTAGAAACCAAAAGATATTGGACTAAAATCCACACATGGTTTGAAAAAATGACTAAAAAACACATTGATTTTAGAGACTTTTTTATTAGGGATTTTGCCAGAAACATATAACAGAGAATTGATGAAACAGATGATTGTGAAAGTATTGACAGCGGCTAGAATTGTGTTTGCTAAAAATTGAAAAAATGAGGAAATACCCAAACAAGATGAAGTTATTAGGAAAATCATGGAATGTGCTGAAATGAGCAAATTGACATTTGAAATTAAAGAACAGGAACTCGGGACATATGTTCATATGTGGTGTAAATGTAATGGGGTTGAACTTTTTTGGTCTAGGATAGAAAATGAAATATTTGAAATGATTAAGAAGAGGGTCAAATTGAAATCGGAAACCATATTATTATTAATATTGAATGAAACAACATTAACAACTGGAGAAAGAGAATTGGTGAGGATTTTGGTTATAATGGGGAGAATTATAATTGCTAGATATTGGAAATTAAATGTTGACTTAAAATTAGAAGAATTGTATAATGAAACATGGAAATTTGCATTAAATGATAAATTGACTTGTGATATTAAAATTAGAAGTGGTATATACAAAGAGAATGTTTTTTGGAACACTTGGCAATCATTTGTGGACTTTGCACTTGGGAGATTGGATGAATCGGCGCCAGTACCCTATCAAAGAGATTTTTTGGAAGAATTGAAGACTATAATTTCCTAAAACTTCCTTTCCATTTGTATAGCACGTTGGGGGGAAATTTTTTTTTTTTTTACTATTGATTTTTGTATTGTCTTTTTTTTTCTGTTATTCTTTAACAATAAAAATACCATATTAAAAAAAAAAGAACAGGAAGACAAACAATATTATAAGATATGGGATTTATTTTATCAATGGCTGGATAATAAAACATGGAAATGAAATATGAAATGGATGTTATAATACAATATATGGAAATGATTTTAATGGGATGAAAATGTAATTGTTAAATGAATGATAAATGAGAATAATGATATAAAGATACATATCAGATTGATAATATGAGAAACTAGAGAATTAGCAAATGATGAATATGAGATGAAGCACAAAAGATTTGTAACCGACTGACACACTACTTGCAATTGGAATGGATGATGGATGTTTTTATGTTTTGTTTAAAAATTAAAAATAAAAATTCAATAAATAAATAAATAACTGAACTAAAAAGAAGAGCTTTAACTGTCTGGTCACTTCCATGCTGAGACTTTCAGTTTCAGGATTGTCAACTAATGCCAACCCTATTCCATTTTTTCTGCGCAGTCCCTTCGCTGGAATGCTACACTTGCAATCAGACAAGCTACTCGGGGTGCACAAGGATTAAAAATTGTTCTCAACATGAGGTTTTCTGCACAAGATACACAGGTAAGCAGACACCACGCACGACCTCAGGTGGTTCTGTATGCGTGTGCATTTCGTCCTCGACTTACTTCCCTTCGTTTATTTTATTTATTTATTTATTTTTATTTTTAATTTGATTTATATGCCGCCCTTCTCTGGAGACTCAGGGTGGCTTACAATGCGTTAAGCAATAGCCTTCATCCTTTTGTATATTTATACAAAGTCAGCTTATTGCCCCCACAAATTGGGTCCTCATTTCACCTACCTTAGAAAGGATGGAAGGCTGAGTTGACCTTGAGCCTGGCGAGATTCGAACCAGCAGTAATTGCAGGCACCTGGTCTTAATAACAGGGTGCTTTAGACCACTCTACTACCAAGGCTCTTTAGCGACTGAAGTTACAACGGCAGTGAACAAAAAATGACTTATGACCAGTCCTTGCACTTATAACCATCCTTGCATCCCCTCCCCACCCAGTCACATGGCAACTGGCATGTACTTACGACTGTTGCCGTGTCCTGCGGTACCAGGATCGCCGATTGCAATCTTCCCAGCCATTTTGAAGGGATCCAAGTAACACCCGCAACCAGTGGTTGCAATGTAAAATTTGTTACTACCGGTTCTGTGGGCGTGGCTTGGTGGGGGAGGGGTGTAATGTGACTGGGTGGGCATGGCCAATTTTTTTTTTTTTTTAACTTTTCAAACCATTTTTTCTACAACCTCTTCGGCCAAAGAGATTGTAAAAAAATGCTTTTAAAAGGCTCTGCCAAATAGGCAACTCAGCTGGGATCGTCAGAGGCTTTTAAAAGCCTCTGACGATCCCAGCTGAGTTGCCTGATTGGCAGAGCCTTTTTTTTTTTACTTTTAAAAGCATTTTTTCTACTGAAGAGGTTGTAGAAAAAATGCTTTTAAAAGCCTCTGACGATCCCAGGTGAGCCGTGCGATCATCAGAATGTCAGCACTTCAACCTGCATTTACTCTAGTGCTGACATAAGAAGGAGAAGAGGGGGCAGCTGGCAAGAGGACGCTTGACATTTCACCTACTTATTTTCTTTGAAGATAATATCCCCTAGGAGATGAGAGGGAGGGGGACATTCCTTTGAGCTGGAGCAGTAGATATGGGGAGAGTGATTTGGAAGAAGGCCAATGAGACACAGAGATTTGGGGAACAGAAAGGGAGGGTGTGGGGGCAGGAAGTCAGAGTTGGCTATGCCATGATTGGGGCCAGATTGTTGTGCTAAATAAAATGAAAGATTTCTTCAAAGACTATCTGTTTGGAAATGCAATTTATTTTATTTGAGACGATATCGAAACCTGACACAGAGGCTTTTTAAAAAAACTTTTAAAATCATTTTTTCATTCGAAGAGGTTGTAGAAAAAATGTTTTTAAAATTTTTTTCAAAAGCCTCTGATGGTTGTGAGGCTCAGCTGGGCATGGGGTGGGGGGGGGCAGGGATTTTTGCTATTGGTTTCTTCTCACTGCCGGATCAGGTGATCCGGTCCGAACCAGGAGCATTTTACCCCTGCCCCCAACTAAATAAGACTCCAAGACTTGAAGTTCCTCAAAGTTCCATTTTATTAGAGAAGTCATATTGGCACATCTGGGAAAACACAAATCTGAAAGCTTCCAGGTTTTCCCCACCCAAAAGAAAGTCCAAGTCTCTTCCCCTGCACCCACATGTCTATCACATGGTCCAAATAGGTCACCATCCCAACTGGAGTAGCTTCCCAGTCACGCCACTCCAGGTGCAGGCTGAATGTCCTTGATTCTCAGAGAAAAGAATGTTGTTGTTTTTATGGCTATACATCTCACCCCATTCCTCCCAGTTCCCACCGCATGCCCATCCACCAAGGGTAGCAGCCCTGAAGATCCAAAGAAAACAATGGCCTCCAGGGCTGACACAACGACCACCAGATTCAGTTAACAACTGCGTATGAAGTTTCCGAAAGATGCCCTAATTAATTCATGAGCCTTGAGCCGAACTTCAAAAGAAATACAGTCATTTATTAGGAGCACCATTTTGGCAATATTCAGATGCAGTTAGAACTAATCCCACGTAGATTTACGTTCCCCTATAACCCTGTCTCTCCCCTCCTCTCTGGCCATGTCATAAATCACATTCTCCAATTAACCACTTTGGCTGGCTGTGAAATCCAACACCCTCCTTCTGATTGCGGTCAGGAAGAATGTATGGAATGCACTTCAGTTAGGGAAATCAATCAGCTCTATCAATTCTCCCTCCCTCCTGCTCATGGCAACTTGAAAGTTTTGCAAGTTGACACTGCGCTGATTTGCTTAACAACTGTGGTAATGGAGGTAAACATTGGGCGCAACTTGCTTCGAAAATGCCTTGCTTAAATAATGTAAATTGTGGTCGTAAGTTGAGGATTTCCTGTCTATTGGAGTCTGGCTGCCGCATCGTGGTTTACAGGTAGTCCACGACTTACGACCACAACCGAGCACCAAATTTCCGTTGCTCAGTGAGACACTTGTTAAGGGAGTTTTGCCCTGTTTTACGACCACCGGTAGTTTACAGGTAGTCCACGACTTATGACCACAACCGGGCCCCAGATGTCCATTGCTCAGGATGGAAGTTAAGGAAGTTTTTCCCCGTTTTACGACCTTCCTTGCCACAGTGGGTGAAGTGAAACGCTGCCGTTGTTAAATTAGTCACAGGGTTGTTAAGTGGATCTGGCTTCCCCATCGACTTTGCTTGGCAGATGGTCACAAAAGGGGAATCACGTGACCAGGTGGGAGAATACTTGACTAACTGTAACTCAGGCCTGAAGGAAAAGAGAAGAAGGCCGAATCGTTTAACCTTGTTGTGTGTTTCCTTTCCTGTTTAGCTACCTCTTTGTCTGGATTCCTGCTTCAAAAAGGTTGTGCAGTCAAATGCCCCATCTCCAAAACCACCTGGCCGTCGCTCTATACCTTAACCTGCTGCCAGGAAGACAGGTGCAACCATGTGAGAGCTGTAAGGTGCTCCAAATCTCTGTTGGCAGTGACTCTTGTTTTTGGAGCCTTGGTTGATCTGGAACTCTGATTGGGGGTGAGGGGGGGTGGGGGTGCAGAGATAATTAACTTGTTTGTTTGTTTGTTTGTTTGCTTTGCTTATCTATCCATCCATCCATCCATCCATCCATCCATCCATCCATCCATCCATCCATTCAATCATTCATTCAGTTTATACTGCTTCCCATCTCTGATTTGGGGCAAAGAAAAATGGCTTGCTTATACATCCATCCCTCCATCCAACTATCCATCCATCCATTTATTCAATTTATATGGCTGTCCATCTCGAAACTGGGGCAGAGAAAAATGACTCATTCATTCATTCGTTCATTCATTCTTCATTCATTCATTCTTCATTTATTCAATTTATACAGCTTCCCATCTCTGATTTGGGGCTGAGAAAAATGGCTTGCTTATCCATCCATCCATCCATCCATCCATCCATCCATCCATCCATCCATCCATCCATTTATTCAATTTATATGGCTGTCCATCTCGAAACTGGGGCAGAGAAAAATGACTCATTCATTCATTCATTCATTCATTCATTCATTCATTCATTTAAACAGTTCCCATCTCTGATTTGGGGCTGAGAAAAATGGCTTGCTTATCCATCTATCCCTCCATCCCTCCATCCCTCCATCCATCCATCCATCCATTTATTCAATTTATATGGCTGCCCATGTCTAAACTGGGGCAGAGCAAAATGACTTAATTAATTAATTAATTAATTCATTCATTCATTCATTCTTCATTCATTCATTCATTCATTCATTCATTCATTCAATTTCTACAGTTGCCCATCTCAATCAATGATTCTGAGAGGCTTACTGTTTTTTTAAATATATATATATATATATATATACTGTACATTATGGTTAGAAATATTGAAAAACATTTTAAAACAATAAAAAACATAGTCAAACCGATCCAAATGCTAAAAACATCCACATGAAATATGAAATTAACGTTTGGCCCTCTTAATAACGCTGGCTTCGGTCCTGCTTTTGCTAAAGGGCCCATGAGGAGACGGCAAACATTTCTTGGAAATAGAGACATGTTTCCTTATTTTTGTGTAGTTATCTGAAAGCTGCCGAAGTGGAAATGAGGTGTGATGGGCAGGAAGAGTTCCATCTTCAATTTCCATGGATAATTTTCTCAGGACAAGCCAGGCTGAAGTAGAAGTTGCAGTTGGGCCTTCAAATTAACAAAGGGATTGAGAAATTTCATGGCCTTTTGGATGATCATAGAATCATAGGAACCAGATGCCGAAGGGGATCTTGGAGGCCTTCTAGTCCAACCCCTTGTCCGAGGCAGAACCTATATCATCCCAGACAAATGTTTCTCCAGTCTTTTCTGGAAAATCTCCCATGATGGAGCACCCACAACTTCTGTAGCAGAGATGAAATGCTCCCGGTTCGGACCAGATCGCCCAATCTGGTAGCGATGATGGCGGGTGGTTCGGAGAACTGGTAGCAAAAATCCCTGCGCACCCCCACCCCCACCATGCCCAGCTGAGCCGCACGATCATCAGAGGAGGTTTTTTTTTTAACTTTTAACAGCATTTTTTCTACAACCTCTTCCGCCGAAAAATGCTTTTAAAAGTAAAAAAAAAAAAAAAAAGCCTTTGATGATCGCGCGGCTCAGCTGGGATCGTCAGAGGCTTTTTCAAAGCATTTTTTTCTGCAACCTCTTCGGCCGAAGCAGTTGTAGGGGAAAAAATGCCTTTAAAAGCCTCTCTGACGATCCCAGCTGAGTTGCCTGATCGGCAAAGAGGCTTTTAAAAGCATTTTTTTCTGCAACCTCTTCGGCCGAAGAGGTGGTAAAAAAAATGCTTTGAAAAGCTTCTGACGATCCCAGCTGTGTTGCCTGATCGGCAGAGGCTTTTCAAAGCATTTTTTTCCAACCTCTTTTAAAGAGGTGGTTTTTAAAAAATGCTTTGAAAAGCCTCTGATGATCCCGGCTGAGTTGCCTGATCGGCAGAGAGGCTTTTAAAAGCATTTTTTTCTGCAACCTCTTCAGCTGAAGAGATGGTAAAAAAAATGCTTTGAAAAGCCTCTGATGATCCCAGCTAAGTTGTCTGATCAGCAGAGACGCTTTTAAAAGCATTTTTTTCTGCAACCTCTTCAGCTGAAGAGGTGGTAAAAAAAATGCTTTGAAAAGCCTCTGATGATCCCAGCTGTGTTGCCTGATCGGAAGAGGCTTTTCAAAGCATTTTTTTCCATCTTTTAAAGAGGTGGTTTAAAAAAATGCTTTGAAAAGCCTCTGATGATCCCGGCTGAGTTGCCTGATCGGCAGAGAGGCTTTTAAAAGCATTTTTTTCTGCAACCTCTTCGGCCAAAGAGGTGGTAAAAAAAAATGCCTTGAAAAGCCTCTGCCGATCAGGCAACTCAGCTGGGATCGTCAGAGGCTTTTCAAAGCATTTTTTTGCAACTTCTTGGGCCGAAGAGGTTGTAAAAAAAAATGCTTTAAATAAAACGTTGGTCACGCCCACCCAGTCACATTACCCCACCACCACCAAGCCATGCCCACAGAACCGGTTGTAACAAATTTTACATTTCACCCCTGTTCTGGAGGCATGTTTTTCCACTGGTTAACTGTCATAGTTTCTCATTAGTTCTAGGTGGCTTCCCTCAATTAGTTTCCATCCATTGCTTCATGTCTTGCCTTCAGATGCTTTGTAGTAATAATCTATTTTTGCTTAGTCTTCCTCAAAGCCTGTATACCTTCCAACAATGTTTTGACCTGTAGAAGAACAAGATCCTTCTTTATTCTGAAATAACCATGACAAATTTTCATCGAAGTTACAGAGTCACACGTATACATTACATGGGTTAGACCTGGGTTATGGCATTCAGCATCCAGTTGGAATTTAATGGCTTTACATTACAAAATGGCCCCTCCTGACACTCAGTATCGCCACATCAGAAAGCCTTGTGAGTTTCATGTCTAGTTGGGATCTGTTTGGGGCAAAAGTAGGGCTGTTTAAGAATCTAGTTGAGAGCTAATCTAGCCTTCCTAAATATGGGGCCTCTTCCAGGGATGTTTGGACCACAACCTCCATCTTCCCTAGCCAGCATGTCCTAAGATTTCTCTCCTTCCAGGGGCATTTGGACCACAATTCCCATCTTCCCTAATCAGCATGCCCAAAGGGTTCTGTCTTTCCAGGGGTATTTGTACTACAGTTCCCATCTTCCCTGGTCAGCATGTCCAAGTATTTCTCTCCTTCCAGGGGCATTTGGACCACAATTCCCATCTTCCCTAATCAGCATGCCCAAAGGGTTCTGTCTTTCCAGGGGTATTTGTACTACAGTTCCCATCTTCCCTGGTCAGCATGTCCAAATATTTCTCTCCTTCCAGGGGTATTTGTACTACAATTCCCATCTTCCCTAATCAGCATGCCCAAAGGGTTCTGTCTCTTCCAGGGGTATTTGTACTACAATTCCCATCTTCCCTGATCAGCATGTTCAAATATTCCTCTCCTTCCAGGGGCATTTGGACCACAATTCCCATCTTCCCTAACCATCATGTCAAATATTTCTCTCCTTCCAGGGGTATTTGTACTACAATTCCCATCTTCCCTGGTCAGCATGTCCAAATATTTCTCTCCTTCCAGGGGTATTTGGACCACAATTCCCATCTTCCCTAACCATCATGTCCAAATATTTCTCTCCTTCCAGGGCATTTGGACCACAATTCCCATCTTCCCTAACCATCATGTCCAAATATTTCTCTCCTTCCAGGGGCATTTGGACCACAATTCCCATCTTCCCTAACATCATGTCCAAATATTTCTCTCCTTCCAGGGGCATTTGGACCACAATTCCCATCTTCCCTAACCATCATGTCCAAATATTTCTCTCCTTCCAGGGGTATTTGTACTACAATTCCCATCGTCCCTGGTCAGCATGTCCAAATATTTCTCTCCTTCCAGGGACATTTGGACCACAGTTCCCATCTTCCCTAACCATCATGTCCAAAGGATTATCTCCTTGCAAGGGCACTTGGATCACAATTCCCATCTTCCCTAACCATCATGTCCAAATATTTCTCTCCTTCCAGGGCATTTGGATCACAATTCCCATCTTTCCTAACCATCATGTCCAAATATTTCTCTCCTTCAGGGGTATTTGTACTACAATTCTCATCTTCCCTGGTCAGCATGTCCAAATATTTCTCTCCTTCCAGGGGCATTTGGACCACAGTTCCCATCGTCCCTAACCATCATGTCCAAAGGATTATGTCCTTGCAGGGGTATTTGTACTACAATTCCCATCTTCCCTGGTCAGCATGACCAAGAAGATCTTTCCACAAGGCACCTCTGGTCTGTTAGCAGGAAGGTTGAAATAGCCTCAAACTGGTCAAAACAGAGGTGGTATTCAGCCGGTTCGTACCGGTTTGGGTGAACCGGTAATGAAAATCATGGGTGGGCTCACCTAACCGCCCCGGCTCTATGCCGTCCTATTTAGGCACATTTTCGAGGCTGGGCGCATGCACGGAAGGCTGGACACATGTGCAGAAGGCGCGTGCATGCATAAATCGAGCATGTGTGCAGGCTGTGAACTGATGGTAAGAATATTGGAAACCCACCACTGGGTCAAATGATGAAATAATCTCAAGGAAGTGAAAAGCTTTTTTTAATACAGTTGAAGAGCCCATCTCGGCTTTTCAGGTTTAACGTACCGTAGAGAAAGAGCTTTGTTTAGATTAGAGGAAATTGGTTTCGAATGTTCTCAGGTGATTCATTCTAAACTATTTGGAAATCCGATCCTCTTTTATTGTTTTTCATCAATTGACGACCAAGGGGCCAACTCATCCTTCCCTTTCCTCCAAAGCGAATCTGAGCCTGCTTCTCCAGTAACAAAGTTGACTATTGCTCAACTGAGATCCTTGATCTTATTGTTAGAAGAACAGGAGAAGATCCCTTTGAGGAGTCAGGTGCAAGGAATGGTCATGTTTGTTGCGGTTTTTCCTTGCTGGGTCAAGAAGATCCGGTCGGATAAGGCAAAAAATAGCTCCCTTGATGGATTCTGTTCCACTGAGCCTTCGGTAACATCCGTTGCATTTGGCAGAGTCATAAAAATAATCTGTATTTAAATAATCCCACGCACCGAGGGAGGTCCTGAAAGAGGAAAAAGAATTAAAAAAGGTGGAGATCAGGCACGAATCTATCCTGCGGAATTTTATTGATTTCTTATATTGTAATATATTTCTTTTATTTAGCATACGGCATCTACAGAGGTCATGCAATCAGTGATATACAAATTGTGTTTAAATAAAGCATCAGCAAATATGTGTGTGTGTGTCAGTGGTGGGTTTCAAAATTTTTTACTACCGTTCTGTGGGTGTGGCTTGGCGGGCGTGGCATTGTTTGGCCATCGGCCAAACAATGTAGGCTGGCGACCCCCAGGGGGAGAGCCTTCTCTGTGGGGGCCCCGGCCCTATGGAATGAATTGCCCCGGACATACGAAGGGCAATAAACACCAGGTGTCTCGATAGGAAAACACTTAATATATATATATATATTTTCTGTCGAAGTACCTGATCTACTCCAACATGTAGGAGGGAGCATACTGCATCCCTTTCGCCTTTCAGCTCCAATCCAGGAGCCCTCAAGCAGTCGCATTCACACACAAACCATTTTATACCAAATTTATATTTCGCTGATAAAGAAATAAAGGGAGGCTAGTATAGATCTATTTCAAGCTATTTAGCTCTCATCAGCTAGCCATACCCTTACTTGGATTCGAACTTGGGCTGCCTGCATGTTAGGCGGTTGTATTAACCTCTGAGCCACAAGTTCTCCTCCCTTCATCAGCTCCAATCCAGGAGCCCTCAAGCAGTCGCATTCACGACAAACCATTTTATACCAAATTTATATTTCGCTGATAAAGAAATAAAGGGAGGCTAGTATAGATCTATTTCAAGCTATTTAGCTCTCATCAGCTAGCCATACCCTTACTTGGATTCGAACTTGGGCTGCCTGCATGTTAGGCGGTTGTATTAACCTCTGAGCCACAAGTTCTCCTCCCTTCATCAGCTCCAATCCAGGAGCCCTCAAGCAGTCGCATTCACGACAAACCATTTTATACCAAATTTATATTTCGCTGATAAAGAAATAAGGGAGGCTAGTATAGATCTATTTCAAGCTATTTAGCTCTCATCAGTTAGCCATACCATTACTCAGATTCGAATGCAGGCAGTTGTATTAACCTCTGAGCCACAAGTTGATGAGAGCTAAATAGCTGTTATATTATATATTATAATATATAATTACACACACACATGTATATAATAATATATAATTACATGATATTATATATATATATAATAATACAATACAATAAAATATAAATATAATTAGTTATATTCGTAATATAACAGTATTATGAAATAGGATAGGATCTCCTGCAGGGGGTTGGACTAGAAGACCTCTAAGGTCCCTTCCAGCTCTATTCTGATTGACCAGACCACTGCTTCTCAACCACGGCAACTTGAAGATGTTTGGACTTCAACTCTTAGAATTCTTCAGAACATTTCAAGATGAAGGGCCCAAGGTTGAAAAACATTGGACAAGACCAGTAATGGGCAACTGTGGCCCCTCTAATGAACTGTGGACTTCAACTCCCAGAATTCCTGAGCCAGACTGCTCAGGAATTCTGGGAGTTGAAGTCCACAGGTTGCGAAGCAGCCATAGTTGCCCACCTGTGGACTAGACCCATGTCCAGTCCTTCCGTATTCACAAATACTCTTCCTGAATAATTAGCAAAGTCAAAGAACCAATCAACAGTAGGAATTCTGATTATGAAATTTGTCTACCTAACCAATGTGATGATGAAGGTGGAGGGGATAAAACCAATAGTTTAAGAAGATTGCCATGGAAGATGATTGACCAGATGGTGTATTTGGAAAGACACAATAGAGTGATCATTGTGATGGACTGGAATTTTAGAATTATAACTTACCAGCAATGAAGAATTGGTAGAATCACAGTCTGGAAAAAGTGATCAAGAAGCAAAGAGTTAAGATCCTAAAGGAATTTCCAGATGCAAATTGATAAACATTCAGCCCATAATAAGCCAGATATGACTTTAAATACAAAATATGGATAATCAACATTGTAATAGCTGGAGATAGAAGAATTAATGAGAAAAAACTAGGGGGGAAAAATCCACAATTCCCACCTTCCCTGGTCTGTATGTCTGACGATTTCTCTCCTTCCAGGGGCATTTTGGACCACAATTCCCATCTTCAAATAAAGCTGGAGTAAACATGGAAAGATAGTTGTAGCAGAGCCAACTAGTGATCAGAACATTTGATGCCATCTCAAAAAAAACCCTGGAAAATTTCCAGGAACACACCACAGGAACAGACAGAATCCCAGCTCATCAACCACAAAAAGTTGTGTCACTTGGAACAACAAATATAATTATGATAACATCTTCAACTCCCTTGGATCCTTGGGAAATATCTAATAGTAAAAAATACCAAACACAATCAGAATGATTAGATCGCTCGTTGCGTAAAGGGCAACAGATGTTGGGGTTGATGGACATGGTGATGATGCTGGAAAAAAAGAAGGGATAATTTGTGAGCAGTGTAGAAATCTTAACCAAGGCTTTTTCATAAGAGTGACCAGGGAACAAAGAGAGAAGGTGTGTCTCTCTCTCTCTCTTTGGTTTTGGATCATCTAATCCCTTCAGCCTGAAAACCAACAACTTTTCACCGTATAGTAATTTTCTGTCAGGAGGGGAATTCATTTGCAAGGGAGAAGAACAGAGGATACGGCCTGTTGAGGCGGAAAGTGGATGGGCACCAAACGGGAATCTAAGATGGTGAAGATCTGTGTGAGAGGCAGAGTGGTGTTGGTAACCATTTTCCTGACAGCTGTTTGGTTTGCGGAGTTCGGTAAGAAACTTTTATTTAAATCAATCCCCCCCTCTTTCTCTAATTAGGACGAAGAAATACGAGACGGCCTTACTACTGCATTTGTAGCAGCACTGGGGGAAGAAAAATGAGACGTGCCACCCATATTCTCCTTTGTGAAAACGTTTCAGAGCTCTAGTTGGCAGAGAAGACCATAAGCCACACCAATAAGATTGGAAGGGACTTTAGAGATCTTCTAGTCTAACCTCCCATGTCCAGGGCAGAAGACACCATTCTGGACAAATGGCTGTCCAGTCTCTTCTTGAAAACCTCGAGTTAAGAAACCTCTAGGTAGAGCAGAGGTCAGCAACCTGCAGCTCTGGAGCCGCATGTGGCTCTTTCGCCCCTCTGCTGTGGCTCCCTGTCACTCAAAATATGTGTCACAACCCCCAATGTGCGACACCTGCCAGTACATGATTTATTGAGCTTTTCAACCCCCGGTAGGCCAACCATGGATAAATCCAAGAAAAGTTTCAGAAGAAACCAGAACGTTTAATTCGACTACATATGCTAGTTTTGTGGCTGCTCAAGAAATAGTCAGATGCAGGAAGGGTTTTTGTGGCTCCCGGTGTTTTCTTTTCTGTGGGAAATGGGTCCAAATGGCTCTTTAAGGTTGCAGACCCCTGGGGCGAAGGGAGCATTTTTTTCCCAAAGGAAGGAGTTCTTTACCAGACTTGGTGCTCAGGAGTTGTGTTAGGACACAAAGGGAACTGGTGTTGGTAACTTCGATTGCCAGATGGTACATTCCTTTTGAAGCGTAAGAGGAGGCAATATTTCACCATTTCTCCACCCAGATGGAATGCATCGCGGCCATAGCCCAAATTGAAATAACTTCGAGAGTCTTGCAATATGTCACCTTTTGATCTCCCTTTTGATCTTCCTTGTTCTAGAAGATGGAAAGATGTTCCAGATAAAACATTCAGGGAAAGCCTACTTGTTCCATGGCATCTTCCCACTTTCTAAAGCTACGTTAAGGGTGGAAGATCTGGAGAACCTTAAGGCAATTATCTATCATTCGTGTTTTGAATGCTGGGAATTATAATCAAGAAAACAGAAAGATTTTTCATCTAGAAGTCTTCTTGTCACTCATAGAACATAAATAACACAGAATAATAGAGTTGGAAGTGACTCTATTGGAGGTCTTCTAGTCCCTGCTCGAGCAGGAGACCCTGCTTAGGTCTCATTCAGGTAAATGATTATCCAGTCTCTTTTTGAAAGCCTCCAGTGATGGAGCACCCACGACTTCTGAAGGCAAGTTGTTCCATTGGTGGATTGCTCTCGCCATTAGGACATTTCTCCTTACCGGTAGTTCTAGGTTGCGTCTCTCCTTGGTTAGTCTCCATCCATGGTTTCTCATCTTGCCTTTTGGTGTTTTGGAAAATAGTTTGACCCCCTCATCTTTGTAGGAGCCCCTCAGATACTGGAAGACTGCTATCATATCTCCCCTGGTCCTTCTTTTCATTAGACCGTGGCGACCAAAACTGGGTGCAGGATTTCAAGTGTGTCCTTACCAAGGCATTATAAAGTGGTATGATCACTTTACGTGATCTTGATTCAATCCCTCTGTTTATGCAGCCCAGAACTGTGTTGGCTTTTTTGGCAGCTGCTGCAACACGGCTGGCTCATATCTAAATGGTTGTCTACTAGGACTCCAAGATTCCTCCCACAGTTACTACTATAGAGCAAGGTACCACCTATACTGTACCTGTGCATTTTGTTTTTCTTCCCTGAATGTAGAACCTTGCTTTTTTCACCATTGAATTTCATTTTGTTAGATAGTGCCCAATGTTCAAGTCTGTCAAGATCCTTCCGTATCTTGAGCCTATCTTCTGGAGTGTTGGCTATTCCTGCCAGCTTGGTGTCATCTGCAATTTTTTTATTTTTTTGGAGAAGTTTTTCAGTTTTATTTCTTATACACATAATATAAAATGTACATTTTCTGATACATAATTAATCCTACATATTTATTTATTTATATTATTTTCAGCAAGCCGGGTTGGCTTAAGAAGAAATTTAAAAATTTTTTTTAATCAGTCTGTGATTTCTTAACTTTCGGGCCAAAATTTATATATATATTTAAATGTTTTTTAATATTTGTATTCTATGTTTTTTATCTTGGCTGTACACCGCCCTGAGTCCTCAGGGAGAAGGGCGGTATATAAATTGGAAATTAAATTAAATTAAATTAAATTTATTATTTATTTATTAATCATATTTCTATGCCGCCCACTCTCCGAGGACTCTGGGCGGCTTACAACAATCAACAGGATACTAAATAGCCTATTGCCCCCAACAATCTGGGTCCTCATTTTACCCACCTCGGAAGGAGGGAAGGCTGAGTCAACCTTACGTATTTTCCTTAAAAAAAGCATTAAAATAAGGCATTTTAATTACATTCGGAGTTGCTCTTCTACCCTTTTTCCCTTATTTCGTAACAAACTTCTTCTCCTCCTCCTTTCTTTCCCTTCCCTCCCTCCTCTCATCTCCTACTTTCTCCTTCCTCCTCTCCTACCTCATCCTACTTCCCCTTCCTTTCCCCCATTCCTCTCTTCTTTTCCCCCTACTCACCTTCTCTCCTACTCCCATCCCATCCCCTACCCTTCCTTCCTCTCCTTTTCCCTTTCTTCCATTCCTCTCCCTCCCTCCTCTACTCTCCTACTTTCTCCTTCCTCCTCTCCTACCTCATCCTACTTCCCCTTCCTTTCCCCCGCTCCTCTCTTCTTTTCCCCTACTCACCTTCTCTCCTACTCCTATCCCCTACCCTTCCTTCCTTTCCTTTTCCCTTTCTTCCATTCCTCTCCCTCCCTCTCCTCTTCCTACCCTCTCCTCCTCTCTCCTTTCTATCTTCTTTGCTGTGGGATATTCTCCTTGTTTGGTATCCGAGCAACTCCTGTATTCTAATAGTATATACTTTCTTTCAATTTCTTTTCAGATTTATTCTATCAGTATTATCATCATAACTGTACACTTATTCTTATTATCTTCTTTCTTTTCCCCCATCCCCCTTTTTCATTTACTCTGGTGTCATCTGGGTTTCTGTTTCTTTTTTATCCTCTCCCTCGTTTAACTTTCTATTATCTAAATCATTTATCTCTCCTCTTATCTTCATGTTTCTTTTCTAACCATATATAAAATCTTCCCCATGTCTTGAAATACACTGATTCCTCTTTATCTCTTATTCTTAGAGTTAATCTATTCATTTCTGCACAATCTAAAACCGCGTCTGCAAATTTGATGAGTTTCCCATCTATCCCCTCATCCAAATCATTGAGGAAAATGTTGAAGGGTATTGGGCCTAAAACAGAGCCTTGGGGTACCCCATTGCATACTTCCCTCCAGGTAAAAGTAGTTCCATTGAGGACTACACATTGAGTGCGATTGGTCAGCCAGGTACGAATCCATCTGGTGGTGATGCTGTCTAACTCACATTTTTCTACTTTATCTAGTAGTAGGTTATGGTCTACTTTATCAAATGCCTTACTGAAGTCCAAGTAAATTATATCTACAGCATTCCTCCGGTCCACTAATTTTGTTACTTTGTCAAAGAATGTGACAAAATTCAATCTCCCTCTTACACATAAAGATATATTTTATGCCGTATACAGGTAGTCCTTGACTTATGACCACAACGGAGCCCCAAATTTCTGTTGTTATGTGAGACATTTGTTAAATGAGCCTTGCCCCATTTTACGACCTTTCTTGCCACAGTTGTTAAATGAATCACTGCAGTTGTTAAGCTGGTAATGCCATTGTTAAGTGAATCCGGCTTCCCCATGGACTTTGCTTGTCAGAAGGTTGCCAAACGGGATAACATGACCCCAGAAAACTGCAACTGTCGTAAATATGAGTCAGTGGCCAAGTGTCCGAATTTTGATCACATGACTATGGGGATGCTGCAATGGTCATAAATTCCCCTTTTCAGTGCTGTTGTAACTTTCAACACTCACAAAAATACAAAAGCAAATAGTAAGACACAGAGGGGAGGAAAAGGGGAAAGACAGTTTTCTTTTCTTCCTCCCGTCCTCACTTGCCTTCCTCCTTTTTCCTCCCCACTGAGTCTTACCATTTGCTTTTGTATTTTTCTATTTTATTCTATTATCTAATAAAATGTTTAAATTTGTAACTTGGAACAGCCACTAAGCCAAGTGTTATAAACAGATGTGCAATTCAGCCGGTTCAGACCGGTTCAGGTGTTGTGATCCAGGCCCAAGTAAGTAGTAGGAAAAACAGCTCGTGAAAAAACAAACAAACTTTATTCGAACAGCTGAGAATGACTTTATTCCCAGCGTCGTTCAACTAAATTAAAGCAAATTCCTCCCGACACAAATTCCTCAGTCCTATCGCAAACCTTGGTCCAATTAGGCAAACTGTTATTAAGCTGGTTATTAAGACCAGCTGCCTGCAATTACTGCAGGTTCAAATTTCGCCAAAGCTCAGGGTCGACTCAGCCTTCCATCCTTTCTAAGGTAGGTAAAATGAGGACCCGGATTGTGGGGGCAATAAGCTGACTTTGTATAAATATACAAAAGGATGAAGGCTATTGCTTAACGCATTGTAAGCCGCCCTGAGTCTCCGGAGAAGGGCGGCATATAAATCAAATTTAAAAAAAAAACTGCCAAAGGCCTTTCTTGGCAAACGTTCAGAAGTCACAGATACAAAAATAAATACAAGACGTAGACGAAGAAGAAGACGAAGCTACCAACGTTGTTTTCCAGCAAAGCCCAAACACCGTTACTGGTCTGTTTTAAGCCTTATGGGAGTGGCCAATCATCTCTTGGCCCTACTCCCGAGTTGTCCTCTTTGCTTGAGCTGCTCTTGCCTTCTGGCAGCTCTTCTCATGCGTGCACTAGGAACAGGCTCCTCCTGTTCCTCTGCCTCTCTGCTGTCAGCCTCTGGAGGCTCTGGAGTCCACACATCATTCCCCGATGGCCCTGGCCCCATCTCTGCCTCCGACGCAGAGCCCTCATCTGGGCCTTCCCCAG